CCCACCAATGCATTAATACAGTATATGAGGAATACCCGGCAAACAGTGGAACTGTGGTGGGCAGAGCAGAGCTTTCCTATACGCATCTTGCCCTTTAGGCGAGCATCGAGCAACTTGGTCTTAGTGCACACCCTGTGGCATCGCCCGAGAAAGCTCTCTCTGGTCAGAGTGAATTTTTGTAAAAGAGGTCTCATTCAAACCTCCTTTTCTGTGATGGCCGATTTAAGAGAACAGTGTGCGGCTATGAAATTTTGTTTCCTGTGACGGTAGGTTAACAATATTAACAACTCCTTGAGAGATTCACCAGCAAAGAACCCTAGTATTTTTTACATGCTAAAGAGGATGGATGTAGAATTTCAATGACATGGAGATCAGGAAGCTTCAATGATATAAGGGTCAGAAATCTTATCTGTCTGAACCAATAATTGCTAAGTGGCTTCCAATCTAGTCCCCACGTGCCATCGACATCCCCATGTGATCCATACTGCAACCTTGCAGCTGCTTAGGAAACAAAGCTGGAAACCCATTAGATAGCCCCTTAATCAAAGCTTTTTGTTACGTTTAAGGATTTGGCAATTCAGGACTTAAGTAGCTGAAATTTTAAGACTGAACTTACAAGGAAAATTACCTATTTAAAGATAATTTAAATATTACAGAAGAAAAATACAGCTTTCTCTTCTCATTATGCACACCAAGTTCCTCAACTTCTTCATAATGGAAGATGAATACTGCACAAAACAGAAAAGGGACAAAAGAAAAACTGTAAGAATTCCTAAAGAAAGAATCAAGGGAAATAGAGGAAAGAGCATTTATAGAGGTATAGATAAAGACATGTGCATATGCAAATATATTTATATGAGGATGGGGAAATAGATCTATGAGCCTATATTTATAGGTTTAGTATTAAAGTAGCAGAAGGACATTGGGCCTCCACTCAAGTACTCCCTCAACGCAAGAATACTTCCTTCTATTAAATTGACATTCTATGATGCTCACCTTCCCAACACAACCGCTGAAGACAAAGCGGACGAATAAGCAAATGTGGTGAAGAAAGCTGATGGTGCCTGGCTATCAAAAGATATAGCGTCTGGGGTCTTAAAGGCTTGAAGGTAATCAAGCCGCCATCAAGCTCAGAAGCAACAAAGCCCACATGGAAGAAGCACACCAGCATATGCAACCACGAGGTGTCGAAGGGATCAGGTATAAGGCATCATCAGAACAAAAAAGCTTACCATAGTGAATGATGGGGGGAGTACGGAGTGGAGACCCAAAGCCCATTAGTAGGCCACTGGAGATCACCTTGCAGAGGGGTCTTGGGGAAGAGATGAGCCAGTCAGGGTGCGATGCAACAACGATGAAAAACACAACTTTCCTCTAGTTCCTAGATGTTTCCTCCCCGCTCCCACTACCATGACTCGAATTTGACCTTGCAAGTCTGGCTAGACCAGAGGATGTACACTGGTACAGATAGGAACTGAAAATCCAGGGAATCCAGGGCGGATGAGCCCTACAGGACCAGTGGTGTGAGTGGTGAAACAGGGAGGGTAGAGGGAGAGTGGGTAGGAAAGTGGGAACCAATTAAAAGGAACTATATGTGACCTCCTCCCTGGGGGACGGACAACAGAAAAGTGGGTGAATGGAGACGTCAGACTGGGCAAGATATGACAAAATACCAATTTATAAACTATCAAGGGCTCATGAGGGAGGGGGTAGCGGGGAGGGAGGGGAAAAATGAGGACTTAATGCTGGGGGCTTAAGTGGAGAGGAAATGTTTTGAGAATGATGAGGGCAATGAATGTACAAATGCGCTTTACACAATTGATGTGTGTATGGATTGTGATAAGAGTTGTATGAGCCCCTAATAAAATGATTAAAAAAAAATAAAGACAATGCTTTCTTAAAAAAAAAAAAAAAAGAATTCCTGAAGAAAAGGAGATTCAAAGGAGGATGCCAAGATATTAAGGCTGAAAAACTGAAATACAAACAAAAAGCAGAACTGACAAGTAGAGTGGATAGTATCACCTAATCAGCACATTTTCTCTTTAAAGGAAAATTTAGCTGAGATCCCAAGTTATAATCAAAAGATAAGAATGTTCGTAGAACAAGGGTTCCCAATCATAAATGCAGGCATCGCTGTAAGGCTGTAACTGTCAATGAAGATAAATATTAGTTTGGCTGCTTACAACAGCTAATCTATATAGACTAAAGTTACATGCTTATTGTTGCTCCCCCATACTCATGCATTCTGAGTGGGCACTATACAATTTAATGTCAGCTATTTTTAACTATAAAGTATTTTTTCAGTGCCTACTCTATCTCCACTCCCTGATTCAAATAATGTTGACTACACTTGCGTTTCTCTAGAATTTTAGACTATCTCTTCCACGGTCCACTTGTTGATTAGTTCCATCCAATAAAAAACCCTAGGTAAAATTCAGACACCACAGGTCAAAAATTAATCAATATGTACTAAAATGCCATTCTTTTAGAAATATTCATGAAATTAAATAAAGGATTCAGTGATGAATAAATGTAGTAGAAGCACATTACTTTAGACTGCCCTCTCTGAGGGGTTAGCTAACACTTTCTACTGCAGTGATGAAAATGGAATTACTGTTAACACCAACAGCTGCAGCGTATCACAAAACCCAAACCCCTTTACAGCTCTGTTAAGGTGAATGGCAGACATCACGGGAGATTTTTCTGGTCTCTTTAAAAAGAATTCCAGATGTACTCTAAAACTTTCCCCTAATAGCTCACTCAAGCAATCCTTATATTCAGGCTGGTTAAGGCTTTCATTTATAACCAGAATCTATTCTTTAGTTAAGTCCCTTATAAGGTAAATAGGTTAGGTTTGAACAAATTAAACATGTAATACAATTGATCTTTTTTTTGTGTGTGTGAGAGAGTGAGTGAGTGAGTGAATGAGAGAGAGTGAGTGAGTGTGAGTGAGTGAGAGTGAGTGTGAGAGTGAGCGAGTGAGAGTGAGTGAGTGAGTGAGTGAGTGAGTGAATGAGAGTGAGTGAGTGAATGAAAGAGAGTGAGTGAGTGTGAGTGAGAGAGAGTGAGTGTGAGTGAGAGAGAGTGAGCGAGTGAGAGTCACAATTGATCTTTTTAAAAGCTTCTTTTTTTCTCCCAAATAACTGTATTACAACAAATTAGAAAAATTAAAAAGGAATGATGAAACATACAACTTTCCTCTAGTTCCTAAATGCTTCCTCCCTCCTCACCCCCCACTATCATGATCCCAATTCTACCTTACAAATATGCCAACCCAGAGGATGTACACTGGTACAGATGGGAACTTGAAACACAGGGAATCCAGGACGGATGATGCTTTCAGGACCAGTGGTGTGAGCGGCAATACTGGGAGGGTAGAGGGAGAGTGGGGTGGAAATGGGGAACTGATTAGAAGGCTCTACATGTGACCTCCTCCCTGGAGGAAGGACAATAGGAAAGTGGGCGAAGGGAGACATCGGACAGGGCAAGATATGACAAAATAATAAGTTATAAATTATCAAGGGTTCATGAGGGAGGAGGGAGCAGAGAGGGAGGGGAAAAAATGAGGAGCTGATGCCAGGGGCTTAGGTGGAGAGCAAATGTTTTGAGAATGATGAGGGCAATGAATGCACAAATGTGCTTTACACAACTGATGTATGTATGGATTGTGTTAAGATTTGTATGAGCCCCTAATAAAACAATTTAAAAAAAGAATAAAGAAAACAATAAATCCATTGCCATTAAAAAATAAAAAAGGGTTTACTATCTCTAATCTTTTGTCAATAATCTTAATTGATATAGGATTTTCCTCCATTTAAAACATATATAATTATAAATTTTAAAATACATAATACCTGTATGTCAAAATTAGAAATTTAAACATGTACAAAAAACCTATAAATTTTATTAAAAAATATTTCATATATAAAAGTTTAAATTAAACCTTTCTGATAATTTTTTTAAAATTTATTAACTAAAAGTAACCTACACTCTTTTATTCAGCCATAACACTGGGGAAATCTAACTTAATAGCATGGTCTCTTCCTATATACTTTCGTATCTAGAAAATAATTTTGATTCACTAGTTTTATAACTTCTTTTGCAGTTTTCAAACTTTATCGAGCCAAATAAGTAAATAACTTAGTACTTTAGTCTCATGTTAATGTGTTACATACATATTGTAAAACTGCCTGTTTTGTTCAATTGAATTGATAAGGAAAAAATTTAATTAAAGGAGACAAATTATAATTCCCTTCCATTGATGGCTTATGAGAACCTATCTACTTGTTAACTTCTATTATTCTCTCAGTACCATCGAGTCAATGCTGACTCAGCAACTCACTGTGGGTTTCCGAGACTGTAACTGTTTATGGAAGTAGAGAGCCCAGCCTTTCTCCCACTGAGTGGTTGACAATTTGAAACTGCCAACCATGCAGATCACAACCTAATGTGTAACCTCTACAGCACCGGGGCTCCTGACTTATTTCATTAGGCTCTTATTTTTTATATCTCAGCTGTTACAATCCTTCCACAACTCCCCTAATCTGAGTCCAAATTACATACCCTAGTGATGTACCCGATAGCACTTTGTACTTCCATTAACAACACATTTAAGTACTGTGCTTTAGCTGTCTGTCAGAGACTCGGACAACAAGATGCTCACATATATGCTGAAAGAAGAAGTCATAAGTTACACAAATGGCCTCAACAGTGACAGGAGAAGCCAACCTCTAACTTAGGCTGCAGCTGATAATGAGGGCAGTGGGTGAAAGAATAGTTTATGGATGAGTACAAACCCCTTGTGAAGGGGAAAGCCTAGTCACAAGTTTCTAAAAATAGCATCACAGTCAAACAGGGCAGCCAGGCTGTGGCTGACTGGCACGGATCCAGTCCCTTCATAATGATGCACACAGTCGGCTTAAACATCAGATGAGTCAACTTAAGAAACGGAGGACATAGTTCCCTTTTATTCAAAGAGTCATAACTGGAACAAAGCTCACCTGTCATGGGATCATAAAGCTGATTAGCTTCTAAGTCTGTGAAAGTACTACTACAGCAGGGACATTTGAAGGAAGCCCGGTTGGTAGAATCTCTCTCATCAGTTTCGATCCTCCTTCTCATGTGGTCCAACTTATATTTTACCACATTAACGAGAGTGCGATAATTGATAAAGTAGTAGTTATGGCGAGTGGTCTTCCCATCCGCAGCAGTCTCTACCCTCATTCTGCATTTGATGAATTTGTCTCCCTTTAAATTATTCAAAACTGAGCGAAGTTGCTTCCGATCAAACTTGAGCAGTTCCAGCATATCTTCCTCTTTCACACAGGGGTTCCGAATCAAGATGTCCAAGGCCAAGGCGTGCTCAATGCCATAAAAACCCCGGATCACATACTTGGCTAACCTCTTCAGTGCTGCAGGAACCTCAGTGAGGACGTCTGGGTCCGCCATCTTTAGCGGCAAACTTCAACTTCAAGATTACTGAATTGAGGGAAAAAAGAGGGGAAGATTAGCTAGGCATACAGATAGGATAATCATTTTAAATCCAAACTAATCAATACATTCCTGGTAGTTGATGGCTACCACTCTTCTACTACAGAGGTTCTAAAAGATTGTTTTAAACGTTTTCCAATGCCTCAGCATTTAACACAGCAGAGCAAGATTTTCCTCTGGAGTGTGCAAACGATTATACCTATAGAGCTTGACTTTCCCTGATCATCATCATATAGGTCTATTTTTTTTTATTCTCAATTCTATTTCATTGGCCTATATGCCTCTTATTAGACCATACCCAGACAGTTTTGATAACTGTACTTTTATAGTATAATTTGAAATCAGGAAGTAAGAGCCCTGTTTTATATTCTTTATCAAGATTTATTTGACTATTTGGGACTCCATATAATTTCATATAAATGTAATGGTTGGCTTTCCATTTATGCAAAGAAGATTTTAGGGATTATGACAGGTATTATATTTTATCTATAGATCACTTTTAGAAGTCTTGACATCTAATAATATTGTCTTCCAACCCATGAACATGAACTGTCCTTCCATTTATTTAGGTCTCCTTTAATGTCCTGAAGCAATGTTTTATAGTTTTTAGTGTATGAGAATTTAATTGGGGGGTGGGGGTTTGTAACGTTGTATTATGAATTAGATGAAGTTTTCAGAGCAGATCATAGGTTTATATTCAACAAGTCATAACACATTCTGATCCAATTCATCCTTTGCAATCCCCTCAATGCACTATCACTTCTCCTAGTTCCTGTGTTCCTGCCTCCACTCCTCCTTTCCTTAAGCCTCTCAACTTTGTCCTCGGGTAAATGGTACTCTTTAGATCTTAAATGGGTGATCATCTTAACACAAAGGGGCAGTCAGTTCCAGATCTCAGGGGTAAGGGCCATAGTTTCAGGGGTCCCACAGTTCTATCCAACCAGTAAGCCTGGTTTCTTTTGCAATTTTCAATTGTTTCACATTTTCCTCCCATTCTATGTAGGCTTTTCTAATGATGTCCTTTTCAGATCAATTGGTAGTGGTAGCTGGGCACCATGTAGGTCTTCTAATTGGCACAATTCTTAAACGGCTACTTTCCTGACCTACATAAAATGGGTTTGGTTCCTAGAAGTCGTCTATTAGTTAAAACAGTTGTAAGCCCAGTTTAATTTATCTCGGAGAGAAAAACACAAATGAGCTAAATGAAGTGTCCACTATTTCTTATGGCATAAAACTTCAGGAGTACTGGAAACCCCGAGGTTCCTAGTGTTAGGTAGCCAGAATAGGGACTAAAGGGAATTGTCTCCCCAATGCCTGCATACAGCCACAAGAGGTTGGAAAGAAAGCAGGCACGTTAATGTGACACCTATGGAAAGATCCAAACTGAGCATGCTCAGACACAAGCCCCCTAGGCCCAGGTGGGAAGTCCACCTGGGTGCACAGACTAGGCCCAATCACATTGAGATCACCGAAGGTGCCCTTAAACTCACTACAGAAGTCATTAAGGCGGCCAGCAAACCTGAGGAAATGCTTGTAACCTTTAACCCCTCAAAAGCTACAGATTAAAACAAGCTATTGCCTTACCAGCACAAATAACAAAGTTTAAAAAAGCAGTCACTAAAAAACAAAAATGCTAGCAAGGGTGTAGAGACTGAAACCCTGTTATGCTGATGGTGGGACTGTTAATGGTGCAACCACTATGGAAAAGGAAATGGCACTTCACCAAAAAGTTGGATATGAAAACACTACATAACCCAGCAGTCCTTCTACTTAGTGTGTCCGATCTAGCGAAATAAGAGGTATGACTTCGATCTCTGCACACCCATGTTCATCTAAACACAATCGACAATAGCAAACCTATGCAAAGAACACAAATGCCCATCAGTGAAAGAATGGAGAAACAAAGTTAATAATAGATATGATGGAATACTATGCAAGGTTAAACCAGTATTTCCCAAAGTGAAACCCCCATGGGAGCAGGTGTTGCTGTAAGGATGGAGTGGGAAGGTACAAAAACAGATACTCACACTTTATCCTGGATATAGGCTACGGTACAAAGGTTTTTAATTGTCAGAGGGGGGTACCGCACCTTTTTTTTTTTCCCTGAAAAGGGGGAAGTAGGCCATTAAGTTTGGGGATCAATGGGTTAAACATAAAAACAAATCTGCAATATATCTCCTAACACAGATGAACTTGAAGGATATTATGCTGAGTACAGTTACCAAAAAAAGACAAATATTGTATGAGAATGCTATTGTGAAGCGTCAAGAAAAGCAGCATTCTTTGGCAGCAAAGGGAAGGGGAAGGCACAGGCTAGAAGGTAGACAACAGTTAACTAGGATGAAGGGGAAGGCAAAATATAGTAAAAGGGAAGTTAGCTAAAAAAAAAAAAAAAAGGATGGAGACTGGGGAAGACAACGAGAGGTGTGCAAGATATTAAAGGCAGCAGAGGCAAGCACTATTACTTGTACAAACCTGCAGTTACGGTGATCTACAAGTAGATGCTTGGATGGACACACGGCACAGGAGGAGGTACAAGTGGGAGGGACAGCCACAAACATATAGTTTTGACATCAAGTACTTGCATATGTGCATTTGCCTTTGCTGCAAAATATGAATATGGTAGAGCATATAGTTGGGAAAACTTCTTAGACAATGCCAAACACGTTGAGGGAAAGGGATCATTGGGCCTGAGGGGTTAGTACAGAAGTCAAGGGGAATACCTAGGCCAATTGGCACAATATAGACAAAGACAATGCTCTATGGTACAACTACTGCCCAAAGGAAAGGAGAGTGGTAAACACTGAAAGACAATTACTCCAGTGGGCTAATGAAGCACAGCAATATCAGTCTCTACAACCCAGAGACCAGATACCACTGCCAATCACTCTTAAAAGAATCATATTAGGAGGTCCTAGAAAGTGGAAGAAAAATGTGGAACAGAACTGGAAGTCATAGAATAGACCAGGCTTATTGACTGGATAGAGACTGGCCCAGTTATCTTGCAGAACACCGCACTACCCAACCCTCACCTCTACCCCTCTACCCGCCATGTTAGATTGAATCAACCACTTAAGTAAGGGCAGCATTTACCGAAGGTCAAAGTTAAGAGGATATGAAAGAGAGGAAGAGGAAACATAGAGGAAATGAGATGGGTCAGAAAGGATAATTCAAAACAAAATGTGTGTGAATCATTGAATGTAAAACTGTTACCTGTTTTCTAAACCTTCAACCAACTTACAAGAAAAAGTTTTAAAAAATTAACAATTTCAGAGTTTGGAAACTTTATCAACTTTGCATAGTTAAAAATCTGAAAATCAAATAAAGAAATGTCACGCAGTGCTTTAAAAAAGAAAAAAGTCAAAATAGAAAAAGGAAAAGGGAAAAAAAATCAAAGGAAAAGGAAAAAGCCTTTACAAGCTGGATCTTTGTAGGCAGGGAAGCAGCAGTCAAGTCAAGCCAAGCAGCACTTTAGACATGCCATCAAGATGGACTGTTCCCGGAGGAGGACAGCATGCTTTGTAACACAGAGGGTCAATGAAAAGAGGAAAGCCCTCAATGAGATGGAGTGCAGTGGCTGAATCCATGGGCTCAAGGCACAGCAATGATTAAAGGATGGCGCTGCTTCTTGTTCTGTCTAAGTAACCCCATGCCATCTAAGAGCATCCAGTGCTTTGAAAAACACCTTGTTACTGCCCATTAAATATCACCAGGAGACTCTCAATCACTAGACGACCAAAACAAGCTCCTCTGACAACTCCAAAATGCACCCCCAACACACACACACACACACACACACACACACACCCCACAACCCCGAGAGCCTGTTCTAGAGGCACCTGAAACGAGGTTTGGTTTGGGCCTAGCTGAGTTAGTCTGTGGATAATTCACTAACAATCTCCTTTATAAATTTATCTTTTTCTTCCCATCCGCTATGTATTCTGCCATTTTCTTCTCCTATATACATTTGTAGTCAAGGAGAGGGCAGAACTCACCTTTCGTTTGGCAGGTTTCATGGGTGTTTACAAAATGAGTGACTACATTCATAATTAGAGGTTGTAGAACACCCCACATACCTACTACGCCTTAGCACCAGCCCTTGGCATCAGTTTACTTGCCCTGACCCTGCAACCTTTCTGTCACCCGAGTTGAAGGATGACATACAAGTGCTTGGGTTCAACTCCAAAGTGGTATCATAGACTACTAGCATATATTTTCTTTTTCTCTCCAACTTGATCTTGGAGAGAAAAAGCTGACATTGTACTCAGCTTAGTTTTTTTTGTTGTTGTTTTACATGTCCAATGGTTAGCAGAAAAAGATACATGAGCATCAGAAAACTCCAATAGACTAAAGAACAGCAGGCCAATGTCAAAGTAAAGATCATAATTAAGTTCCAACTATTCCTTTAAAAGCAGAGCATTTCACCTCTTCCTGTCCCAAAACATAAACTAAAATATTAATTCAATAATAGTTACTACGTATCCCAGGTATAGACTGTAATATAAGATAAAGAAACATATAGGGGAGGAGACCAGTCAGTCAGGGTACAGTGTAGCAATGATGAAACATACAACTTTCCTCTAGTTTTTAAATGTCCCCCCTCCCCCCACTATCATGATCCCAATTCTACCTTACAAATCTGGCTAGACCAGAGGATATACAGTGGTACAGATAAAAACTGGAAACAAGGGAATCCAGGGCAGATGATCCCTTCAGGACCAGTGCTGAGTGGCGATACCGGGAGGGTGGAGGGGCGGTGGGTGGAAAGGGGGAACCGATTACAAGGATCTACATATAACCTCCTCCCTGGGGGACAGACAACAGAAAAATGGGTGAAGGGAGACGTTGGACAGTGCAAGATATGACAAAACAATAATTTATAAATTATCTAGGGCTCATAAGGGGGGGGTGCGGGGAGGGAGGGGAAAAATGAGCTGATGCCAAGGGCTTAATTGGAGAGCAAATGTTTTGAGAATGATGAGGGCAAT